GCTACGTGCATGCGGACGCATCTGGCCGTAGTCATGAACTCCTGGTGGTTAGTCTTGTTCTGTTTTCGGTTGCATAATGTTTCATTTAACTGTGTATAGTCATGTGCAGCCTTTAATATTTCAGGACGCTGCAATCCAAGCATGCTGTCGTAGTCTGTGCGGAATGTTGGGATGCTAAATGGAAAAGGTGAATTTTCTTTGCACCTCTGATTTAAAAATAGCTACCTGCGTTGTTCTTTTTAGGAATTGTGTTTTTCTGGCTTTTGCACAAGAGTAGTTCTATGTTTAAAGCAGCGTGTGACTCTGAATATTAGTCTCTGGTAGTTCATAAAAATATACCATTGCAAGTTTATGGAGCCAGAACTTCATTAAATAGTGACACATCGTAGCATATAAATTGTTTTAAAAGCAGGTAGTGTGTGTGTATGCTAGGTAGCATGGCGATTGCCGTGTTAGCTATTGAAGTAGAACCCTGATGCCGGGAATCTTTGTTTGTTTTTGGATACCTTTTAGTTTTAAATAGGTTAGGACATTAGCAGTCAGGATGTAGGGCAGTTTTTATTAATATGGTTTATTATATGCAGTGTCCACCCGTGGGAAAGAGCACAGGGCACACACACACACACACACACACACACACACACACACACACACAGCTGTGCATTTTTACTTCACAGCTGAGGCTCTGCCTGTTATGGAGTCGCCCCGCGTGTCCGAGAATTCTGACAGTTCGGGCCGAACGTGCACCATACCCGGACCTCTCTGAGAACCCCCCCCCCCTCCCCGGTCGGGCAAGGGGGCGGGGGTGGAGACCGCGAGGCAGACGAGGACGTACCTCAGGCTGGAGCTGCTCATCGCGGTGGGGAAAGGCTGCCGCAGCCGCTCACCGTCTGGCACGCCATTACTGCCGTCGTCAGAACCGCCAAAGCTTGTGCTCTTCTGTCCACCGTCACGCGCCCCCCCCCATCCCGGCTTCCCCGCATTCCATCCATACAGTGATCGGTTATGCTTTTTCCTCCCTCCGTCTCCCCACCTCGAATCTTCCTTGTATCTGTAGTCCACAGGCTTCTGAGATAAACAGTTTTCCTTCCTCCCTCTATTTCTAGAGGAACAGCTTTGTCTGGTCTTTGTTGGCGTGGCGTAGCGCGCGATTGCAGTCTGAGCCGCGCCGCGCCGCACGAGCGGGGCTGGGGAGCCGCTCTAGCTGCAGCGGAGGCAGAGCGCTACGCTACATACTCCTTCATGTTGCTAGGCAGGATGGCGGTGTTGCCGGAGAGCAGAACGCGGAGTCCACCCCTGGCCCTCCCCCCCCCCCGTGTTGGCCGCATTTACAGCGCGATCTGGCCAGAGTGGAAGGTCCTCCGCCCCTGTTCCGGAAAGGCAGCTGTTTAAACACGGTGTCTGACAGGCAGCGTTACAGTGACAGAACACAAGCCGTCACTGCTTTCTTAATAGGGCTCCCACGTGACCTATTCATATTCATTCCGCCCCACCCCCCATCTAGCCCCCCCCCCTTTCCCACCACCCTCTTAAGAGATGGGGGGATTTAACTCCATGCTGCCTGGATGGAGGAGAGAGAGCCTTTATTTTGTCTCGGCATGTATTATTTCATGGGTTTCACATGGCTTTGGTTCTGGGCTGTTTGTATTATTTTTTTGTGTTACTCCAGCTGTCCAGTTCAGCACAAAACAAAATGTATGACAATATTAGTTAGGAAAAGGGGGGGCGTTGAAGAATTTACCCATCCATTGAACTTGTTTTGCAAAGTGTCAGTTACATTGAGAAACAAAACCCAGAGCAGCTTCCTTTTGGGTCTGAATCGGGAAAGCGGTGCTGATGCTTTGCATTTTGCAAATGGGTTTTGTTTGACATTGTTCGCATATATAAAAACGAGTGTCCTGCTTTTGGACCGACACTCAGGATTCACACAGGAGCAGTGCTGTGCATCAATCACATTTTGTCAATAGATGTCCAGTCTGCAGAACTTTGGAGTATTTAGGCAAATCTGGTTAAGTTTAAATCGCTGTTTCCAGAGCAGCTCATTCGGAATATGGGTTTACTGTCAGCAGGCGAACGTGTGCCCTCAGAGGATAGGGTGGGCTTCTTAAAGCAGAAATCCAGAAGAACCTGTCCCTAAGCTCTCCGTGTGTTTACTCGACACTTTGGCTACAATGCAGACCAGTTTTGAAACGTCATATGAAACTCTAGGTCATACAGGTCATTGTCCACATGCTATGTATATTTTTGTCTGTTTCGTATTATCAAAAATGGGGAATAAAACATATGTCTTGAAGATGGTTGTGTTGGGTGAGCATTCACTTGTGTGGAATCTGAGGTTTTTAGGGGTAAATAATTATTCCTGTTTGTAAGGAAATTTTACAGTATTCTAAATGGACACTTTGCCTTAATGGGGAGGTATTTAATAAAACTACTCTTTCAGTGAATGATTTACTTAAATTACCTATGAATGTCAAGCTATAAAAATTATGACTTGCAGCTCTTACGAAAAACAACCTTGTCTTCCAGTGATAATTCCTTCATCTATTCCGTTCATCGTGGCAGTTGAATTGCGTTGGGGAAAATGCAATCAGTTATTTATATTAGATGCTATTGCCCCTGCAATAAACATTTATAAGGCAATCTGTGTTTTTTTTTTTCTCCAAGTTAAGATCTGGCTGGGAAATTCAAATACTTCCCTAATTTCCCTCAGTGAGTGCTAACTGGCTATGAAATATTCAGCGTACTTTTCAGGTCTCAGTGTCCTGAGCTGCTGCAGTCGCAGCCGCTGCTGTTCTCACAGTGGAAAAAGGCAGGATTATCGCTCCGCTCCTTAATGACAAATTAAACATCCTGGGTGACTTGCCAGAATCCCAGGATACCCCAAATAATGGAAGACCTTTATTCTCAATTCAATGAAAATCGAAAATGAAACTCCGCTCAGTACTGCATTTAAAATGACTACCAGGCAAATAGTCACACAGGCTTGTATTTTTCCTTCCTTTTGTTTCCTGTTTAATCGTGTCATCTCTGGTGGACAAAGTATGCCGCTTTTGGTTTTTGCTCATGCCTGAAAGGTAATCACAAGAACCGGATTGGTCAATCACCCTGTACCTTGTGTCGTTATTGGTATGCAGGATTATACCCAGCTATGAACATAATTGGCTGTAAGTTCAAGGGAACACAACTTTTGAAGTCTTGGTTGAAAAACGTTAATTATTCAGCAGTCCTGTATAATATGTTGCCTGCGCGGCCGTTTAAATTGCTGGCTGACTGCTGGGAATAGCTTTGAGATATGCGTGCAATGTGACTGCAGCTGCTTTGACATTTGGGCCGTGACGTCGCTGATAGATTGCCCCTGGATCTCCGTGATGGCGCTCCGTAGATACGGCGTCCCGGAGACAAGGTTGCCGAGCATTGGCTAGGGAATGAAATCCAATCGTTTCAGATGATTCTAGCTAAGAGGGAAAAGAGCTGGATGGGGACAGACGTAATTCGGAGATGAGTTTATGTGAATCTCAGTTTGGCTTCATCCAGCCATTATTTGGATTAATAGACTAAGAATCTGTACCTCAGGCATGGTTTTTTCCATGTCCAGATTCTCAGTAAACGTATAATATTAATAAAGATATAACATTACCAATATGTCTATAAATACGCCTTGAGAACCTTCGTGCTATTTGTCATTTAGAGTATCATTAGATTACATGTATGTTTAATTGAATTATGATTAAAAGATGTTTCCTTCGGGAGTAATAAAGTATCTGTCTGTCTATATCACGGTACACAAAAATCATGGTTTGGTACGTCCCTCAGTTTTGTTCGGTACAGCAGTGATAAAGAAACGAAACATAAATTGCTTCTTTATTCTTTATTAAACAGTGTTTTACTGAACAAAATATGACTGTCTTTAATAAAGTCTCTGTCAATACTGCTGCAACCTATTAATAAACCAAACTTAAGTAAATAAAAATATTCTATCAAGTAAATAAAAATAAAATAAATATCCTTTAAGGTGCACATTTAGAAAATTAACTGCACCTGATCTGTACTGTATTCACATTCGCAGCTTTCAGCTGTGCAACACAAATATTGTCTCAAGAAATACAAAACACAACAAAATAAATATCCATTACGGTGCAGCGTCAAACATACCTGTGCTGTACTGTATTCACGATAACTTCCAGCTTCACGTTAGGACGTACGCAATCAGTGTTGTGGTGCAGCTCCATCCGCCCCTTTCCGAATGTCACTCAGGGGAAACACAAACACACAAAGGTTTCGCATTTGCTGCGTTCGTTCTGTACATTTGCGTACCGAACCGAAAGACCCTCACTGAAAATCTATCTCACACTCTACCTCTATACCTCTGCCTCTATCTATCTCCATCTATTCTATCTATATTATATGTTATCTATCTAAACATTCCAATACACTTAACCTTCCCATAGATCAGGGTTATTCAAATCACGGTCCTCGAGGTCCGAGCACTGCTGGTTTTCCAGCCTTCCTTTACCTGTCAGTCAGGTGTGAAGCCTCTGACCAATCAGAATCAGTAATTATTAAACTTCCTGGGAGAACTGAAAACAAGGCCTGGATTTGGAATCGAGGTCCAGATTTGAAGCACCCTGCCATAGATGATGCTTTGGGTTGAGTATAAAGACAAGAGCTTTGCAAAGGATAAATGTTGATTTACTTGCTTTTGCCACATGGACACACGGAACAGCTCAAGAACTGAATAATAAGCTTATGGGGGAGAAATGACAGGTGGTCTTAGCCCTCATAACTCTTAATTTCTTAAGTAATTGAATCTGTGGTGACTGGCTTGCTTACTAGGGGGGTTTGCTTGACAAATCCCTGCGAAACATTTTATCATGTACACACTGGCGAAATTGAAGGTGGGGTGTCATGTACACACTGGCGA